GGAAATGGATACATTTCTGGACACATACAAAGTACCAAGACTGAACCAAGAAGAAATAGAAAACCTGAGCAGACCAAAAACAAGCAATGAGATTGAAGCAGTAATCAGCCATCTCCGAACAGAGAAAAGCACAGGACCAGATGGCTTTACTGCTGAATTCTACCAAACCTTTACAGAAGAATTAATACCAATTCTCTTCACACTATTCCAAAAAACTGAAACAGAGGCCACTCTCCCAAACTCATTTGATGAGGCCAGTATCTCCTTGATACCAAAACCAGAAAAAGATACAACAAAAAAAAAAATTACAGGCCGATATCTTTGATGAACATAGATGCAAAAATCCTCAACAAAATATTAGCAAACAGAATACAGCAGCACATCAAAAAGATTATACACCAGGATGAAGTGGGATTCATTCCACTGATGCAAGGATGGGTCAACATATGGAAATCAATGAATGTAATATACCACATCAACAAAATCAAGGACAAAAGCCATATTATCTCAATAGATGCAGAAAAAGTATTTAACAAAAGTCAGCATTCCATCATGATAACGATGCTCAACAAAAAAGGTATATAGAAGGAATGTATCTCAACACAATAAAAGCCATATATGACAAACCCACCACCAATTTCTTCCAGAATGGGGAAAAGCTGAAAGCTATTTTTCTAAGAACAGGAACAAGGCAAGGATGCCCACTCTCACCATTCCTACTTAACATAATATTGGAAGTACTAGACAGATCAATCAGGCAAGAGAAAGAAAGAAAGGGCATCCAAACTGGGAAAAACAAAGTCAAATTGTCCATGTCCACAAATGAAATGATCCTAAAAATAGAAAAAACTCAAAATTCTACCAAAAAACTCCTAGAGCTCATAAATGAATTCAACAAAATTACAGGATAAAAAATTAATACACAAAAATCTGTAGCATTTTTATACACCAGCAACAAACTAGCAAAAAAAGAAAGAAAGAAAGCACATTTATGATAGCTACCAAAGAATAAAATACCTAGGAATCAATATAAAAAAGGAAGTGAAAGATCTCTACAATGAGAACTACAAAACACATCTGAAAGAAATTAAACAGTATACCAAAACATGGAAAGACATTCCATGTTCATGGATTAGAAGAATTAATGTTGTGAAAATGTCCATACTACACAGAGCCATCTACAAATTCAATGCAATCACCTTCTAAATACCAATGACATTCTTCACAGAAACAGACAAAACAATCCTAACATTCATATGGAACAATGAAAGATCCTGAATAGCCAAAGTGATCCTGAGCAAAAAAAATAAAATAAAATAAAAGACAGAGGCATCATACTACCCGACTTCAAATTATACTACAAAACTATGGTAACCAAAGTAACATGGTACTGGCATAAAAATAGATACAAGGACCAAGGGAATAAAAATAGAGAATCAAGAAATCAACCCACATACTTATACCCTACTCATCTTTGACAAAGTCACCAAGAACATACACTGGGAAAAAACAGCCTCAATAGCAAAGTGTGCTGGAAAAACTGGATATTCATGTGTAGAAGAATGAAACTAGATCCGCACCTTTCACCATATACCCAAGCCAACACAAAATGGATTAAAGAATTAAATATAAGACCTGAAACTATAAACCTCTTGGAACAAAACATAGATGAACTACTATAGGATGTAGGACTGAGCAAAAACTTTATGAATAAGACCTCAAAAGCCCAAGCAACAACAACAACAAAAGTAAACAAATGGAATTACATCAAACTACAAAGCTTCTGCACAGCAAAGGAAACAATCAACAGAATGAAAAGGCAACATACAGAATGGGAGAAAACATTTGCAACCTATACATCCAACAAGGGATTAATATGCAGAAAAAACAAGGAACTCAAACAACTAAATAGTAAAAAAAAACAAGTAACCCAATTAAAAAATGGGCAAAGGATATGAATAAGATATACAAATGGCCAACAGACACATGAAAAAATGCTCAACATCATGAATCATAAGGGAAATGCAAGTCAACACTACACTGAGATTTCACCTCACCCCAGTTAAACTGACCATTATCAAAAGACAGACAATAACGAATGCTGACGGGGATGTGGAGAAAGGGAAACCCTCCTACACTGTTGGTGGGACTTTAAATTTATGCAGCCATTATGGAAAACAGTATGGAGGTTCCTCCAATAACTAGGGACAGCACAGCCATGTGATCCAGCAACCCCACTGCTGGATCTATACCCAAAGGAATGGAAACGGAATGTGTTATATACACTCAGTGAAATACTACTGTGCCAGAAAAAGAGTAGAATTCTGCTATTTGCAGCAGCATGGACGAGCTAGGAGAAAATTATGTTAATTAAAATAAGTCAGGTACAGCAAACGAAATATCCTGTGTTCTCACTTATAAGTGTGAGCTAAATAATAAATGAAAGGAGGAAAGAAAGAAAGAAACAACAATCACAATACTATGTTGAACTTTCAGAAGGAGAGAACAGAACAGTGGTTAATAGAGGTGGGAAAGGGGGAGCAGCAGGGGGTTAGTAAGAAATAATTTAATAAACACAAGGAATGATTGCATTTTGTAATAATGAATATGCTAATTATCCTGATTTGATCATCACACATTGTAAACAGGTATTGATATTCCACTCTGTATCCCACAAATATGTATAATTAATTATACATTAATTTAAAAAAATAACTGCAGAACTGTGCAGGAGCAATGTTAGGGTGAAATGGTGCAAATCTTGTCATTAGCAAAGTGTATCAAGGAGTTGCTAAATTCCCTGCCTAATATTAAAGCAAAACAACTCCGTCACTCTACCGGCAGAAAGAAAATGTGTCCCACTAATGCTGTCATTGGGCTTTTTTAGTGGACTGGGGACAGGACCTAGATTGAAATCTTCTGCTCACACCCTTGAATTTCACACACTTATCATTTCTGATCTGCTTAGATTTGGGAATTCTTCTCACATCTGTCTTGTCCATATAGAGATGGGGAAACTGACAAGTTTCCCTATTGTTTGGAGCTTTGCATCCCATTGGAGACAACCATGTACCTGCACTATTTTCTACCCAGTGGTGCAATGGAGATGGGTGAGGTGGAAGGTCTCCACCCATGAAGCTACAGATGGCTTATTGCAGAAGGTTCTGATGCTGAAACGAGCCAATGAGGCTGATGCTGCCCTCTGGCCTTTGGTCTAGAAGTCCGGTTTCCTACCTGCCCAGCTGCTAACACTGTTCACTTGAAGCAGTGGTTAAAATAGTGACCTGGATAGCTGGTTAAGAATTCCACAGAGAGCTTTGTACAGAATACACAGAGGACATCCTTGCCCACATGAGGCTCACATATATTCAACAACAAATAGGTCATTTTACCACTTTCTTAATATTGTCTTACATAAGAAAATATTTTAGATGCCAATAGTAATTTACTCCTTTTATCAGAAGAAATAATTTTTATTACATAGTACAGGTTAAAATGTATCATGTAATCAAATGAAGTTGATACCTAAAGGAACCCATATGTTATACATAACAAAGAATAAATGCATTGTTTCGTGAAATACCATCTGCTAAGCAATCGAGTACATGTAACCCATACATGGAAATTGCTTTCCAAGAAGGCAAGAGAGCATCCCAACCACTTTAAGGAATCTCCAGTCCCACTCCGCCCCCGACCCAGTTTCCTCACCCCCAACCAGCACAGGCATGATTTCCTCCTGGCTGAGGTTGCCTCCTCTGTCAGAAGCTAACAAAGAGGACGCCAGAGAGCCCTCTCATAACCAAGTGCCAGACAAATCAATTCAAATGTGAAAAGAGGACACCTAGCTAGTTTGTAGATACCATATAATTTTCCCCACATACTCATCCCACACCAGACAGACATTCTAAGACTTTTCCAGCCACTTTGGTTAGTAGCATAGCCTCAGGGCTGCCCCTTTCCTCAAGTCAGAATCAGCTGGGCATTCTTACCATTCATGTCCTGGGTGTCACAAGAAGTTATTTTGTGACAGATACTTGCAAGCCATTTTCTATTTCTAAAGTAATTGGTAATAAGACTTACCATATCAGATTCCAACTAGATGCTTTTTTTTCGCTCTGGATGCTGATGGCTGTAATTGCTGGCTTTTTCTACACAATGCCAAGAAAAATTGATCAACTCAATTCATTTAGACAAAAGGAAAAAATAATATTTTCAATTCAGTAACACATAGAATAGCAAAGAGCTTGATATCATTAGACCGTGGCTAGCTACCATTTCGTGGATAGGGACCCCTTTTTAAATATAAATTTATAAAATATAAGCACATAAATGTATTTTATAGTGTAAAATATATTTAAATATATATGTATGTACCTAATGTATATATTTTTCAGTACATAAATGTTATATACTATATATAAAATTATATATAATATATAGACAAATATATTATGTATTTGTGCATAATATACAAGGGTACTTCAAAAACTTTATGGAAAAACAGAATTAGAAGATATTATGAACCTTTCCTTGAACTTTTTGGAGACCCCCTTCATATATATAGTGATATATGGTGTGTGCATATACACGTGTGCATGTGTATACATATATATAATATGTATATAAAAACTTCAACAGGATTGTAATATACTTTTAGAATCTGCTGTCTGAGAAAATATCTAGTGATTTTAAAAAACTTACTATGAATTAAGTAGCAGATTGAAGTGAATTAGTGTTATATTAATCACAATAACACTTAGAAACATTATTCCTGCTGCAGTTATGGGAGCTCACTAAAGTTTAAAATAGCAGTGCTTGGTGTTTTGGTCCCCTGGTGTGCAAATAAAATTTTGGTGAATGTATGAATGGATGAATAAATGAATAACTTTTCCAAAGTCCACATGGTTGTGGTGTTCCGTGAAGACAACTTCTCCATCTGATGCATATTTCCATGAATGATATCATTTAAAGGTCTGACTAAGAATTGCTTTGATTTTCAGAATTCTTTGGCGATCTGGACACGTTGATGGGGCCTCTGACCCAGCACAGCAGCATGACCAACCTTGTCCGCTACGTTCGCCAGGGACTGTGTTGGCTGCGCATCGATGCCCATTTGTTGTAGTGGGTGCTCCCCCATTTGTAGTGTCACCACGCATCACTCTACCTCTACCAGCACACTGACGGTCACTGGTAGAACTCCACTTATTTGGGAAAGTTTTCTTTGGTTATGTTTGTTTTTGTGCTTCTTTTGATATCTGTTGAAAACAGAAGTCATTGTAAGTGGACACTAAAACGTGAGAGCAATATATGTTTTATTACTTAGTCATTTTTCAGTATTTGATATGCATTTCTCAGATCTCACCATCTGTTTGTGCTCTATGGAATAACAGTACCTACAATATTGTTTTAAGTCCACACTACCCAAAACAAAGAATGGGAAGCACTTGTAATGATGACAAGTTCCTGAAAAATGAAACAAGTGTTCTTACATACACAGGCATATGAGAACTTAGACCCAAGAGACCTGCAAAGCTTTTCAGCAATAGCCATTGCCCCAAACTATACTCTCATGGCCAGAAAAGAATGTATTTCAGAATCCATTGTTAAACTTTTGTAGTTTCTACAGACTCAACCTTTACATGAAAATTTTTATTGTCAAAACCCACTGGTTAGATGTTGTAGCAACAACAGAAAATCAACAGTATCAAGAAAACCAATTAGCATAGTGATGCTGCTCTTAAAATGATGTTATGCCACACAACCAGAGGACTTTTTTGTTAGCATCCCTTTCCTGTTCTTAATTTTTTTTTATTTTAATGGTGAGAAGGAGGGGCAACATTTATTTTGACAACTTTAAGGCATCAGCTGGCATAAATATTTTTGAATTCCATGATTTGAAAATAAATCCGCACCCGGGATTCTCTTTCTGTGAAACTCTCCTTTTGTGGAATAGTTTGGTGGATGTGCACCTTAGTAGCAAAAATGCTACATTCCAGCCTTAGAGTTGGGAGAAAAGAGATGTCTAGAAATTGACAAGCAATTCACACCTCTGCTTCCTTTGCAATTAGAAGGCAGGTCCAAAACTGGCAAGAGTTTTTAATTATATTTTGCTCAAATCTGTGGAAACACTTCAAGTTATTATTACCTAGAAGTAAAAACATGCAGTTTGCTTCCTAATGGCTTTAGAATCTGGACTTCCACAATTATTATTCACATTTTCTATTTCACAGGGTTTCTTTTTTCTACTTTCTTTTTTTCTTTTTCTTTCTTTTCTTTTCCTTTTCTTTTGGCTTATTAGCTTTTTACTGAAATGCAATCACTGATTTTATTGAAGTCTATATTAACATGAATTATTTCCATGAAAATCCCAAAGAAAACTCCAAACTCTTTAAGCAGTAACTAGGTTTAAAAAGAAGAGAGAAAAAGAAAAATGAGTCTTGGGGTTGTACTTCGTCTTAGGGTGCTTTGAAAGAGCCCTGAAGATTGTGAACAGGCCACCAAAATTAGAGATTTCCCCACCAGTTGTGACCCCCCCCCCTTATGATCCTCTGTATTCATTTTATGTTCCTAAACATCACAATGTAAATATCATCTTTGGTGTTTCAGCTCACCAGAAGAATCCCCCACTTGTAGTAAACAATATCCATGCATTAGTTACTTGTAATACCTTCCAGTATATAATTCCATGTAGGGTTTAATCTGCTGAATTCTGTTCACTGAAATATGATCAGATAAATAATAGATATGCATATGAAAGATGCAAACTTGTATGATTTTAAAAGCAAGTCATGCAGGTCATGAAAGGAACAGCAGGTGATCACTCTGTACTCTCATTGTCAAGTTTAGATATATACCCAGTTGTAAAAGAGCCAGACTTGAGCCCCTCTCTGGTCATCTTTGAATTTAAGGCCCTTTCTTGTATAATAAGCTGTGGAAGTTGTACTCCAATGGCTGAAGCCATGTTCTTAACTTGGCTGATGGGAGCCTCCCAGCAGCGGAACCCAGCACTTTTTATATTCCCATTGTGGTTGAGCTTTTACATTTACAGTCTCAACAACAACACTTATGCATACATGCGCATGCACGTGCATACACACACACACACACAAATGAAAACAAAGACTTTTCTGAGCCTTTTAAATGAGACAAATGATAATATGAAAGACTGAACACCCAAGGTGGGTGTTCCATAGAAAAATTAAGCTGATGACTTTGCAGTGACTCAAGTTCTCTGTTTTCCATGGCTTACCAGGTCGAGTGCCTGGCTGTTACTATATAATGAAGCCCACTGGCTTAACTTGTAAATTCAACCTAGACCATGATCCTAGACCATCACGGATTTAGGAAAAGATTCTTCTTGAAATTCAGTTTCCAGAAACTAGACATTAGAATGCTAGGAGCAGTTTCCCAGAAAAACAAGCATATTGCCTCATGGATGAAAGACTTGTAGCTCTAATTTCAGTGACTTCTTATATCTACTTACATACAACAGGGAGGCGAGAGGATTCTCTGTCATCTCTGGTGGCTGAGTGTAAAGTGTGTGCCAAGTCAGCCACACAATTATCAAATCTGATGGCCGAGCTCTGCATCACCACCTGATTATTTAGTAGACGCATTTTTAAAGCAGCTTAGAAACCAATTAAACATGGAGGATGAATTACCTTTCTATTCCTGGAGATGAGATGTCTTTCAGTTTCACGATTAAGGATTGTTGCTGTTTTCTAGACACTCTATTCATCACATTGTAAATGGTGATGCATGTTGTAGGTGTGCAGCCGTTTTAAGGATTGAGATCGAGATGCTTTGTCAAGTGAATCTCTTCAGCATACCAGTTTGTAGGAGGGATATGAGATGTGTGGATGGCAGTGAGAGATCGTGCCTCTAGACCTTAACGGAGGTTTGGTGAGACACAGCTAAATAAGCACATGGAGGTAGAGTAATGGGCAGAGTAATGGGCATCTCTATTTGAGCAAGTATATGGAAAGATTTCAGCCCTGGAATGTGACCCAGGTAGGGCCACCACTATGCCTTCATTTGTCACTCAAGCTCCAACCACAGGGAGTTTGACAAGTTTGTGTTATAATGTTGGCTTGGCTTTGTATTTTTAATTAACTTTGGATTTTTTAGTGGTTTTGCCATATTACTGTCTGAGTTTGGTAGGTAGTATTAATTTGAAAAGAGTTTACTAGTGTGGTCCTTGGTGTAGAATTTAGCTGTAAGCATGTTGTTAGCCAGCCTGTAGACTGTTAATTACTTAATAATCTCATTGGGAAAATACTAGTAGTTTTATATATGGATGACATAATTGGAAAAGCAGATTAGCTGCTGCTACTTTTAAAAGACTTGAGGTTGGGATGCCTTTTCTCCATGTAATGAAATAAAAAGATCCAAATCTTCAGTCAATAACCAAGTTGCAATATTAGAAACCATTGGCTAAAATATGTTTTGCTGAGTTTCCAAATAGATGGATTTTCATCTGGACATTACATTACTAAATTCATTGGATTTGGTCTGCATTGGAAAGATACTTATTCTATGTTATCTTTCTTGAATCTATCTAATTCGGATTTTGCTTTATTCAAATTTGCATCCCAAAAGTTGAGGTTGTGGAGTTTGAAGCTAAAAATCATTTTTGAAGGTGGAATCGGTTGATTTGTGAAGGTGAAGCCCTCACATACTTCTCTACAGACATGATAAAATTCACCTGCATAAGTTGGCAGGTGGGAGAACCAAACTGTATCACTGGGTAAGAAGACTGCTCAGCAAAGCGATGAACTGCTTGCTTAGAGAAGCGTCACTATCCCCATGGAGAGAATGTGTGGCAAGATGATAGAGCTACACAATATCAAACGAATGGGTCGATTCAGTGCCCCCAAATTCAATTATGCGGGGAACAAATATTGAGCCAGTTGTCAGCGTTCTGTTATGCGACTGGTAGACTAAATTCTTTGTCATCGTTATCGTTGTTGTTGTTTCTCATTTTCATTTGCACCACCTTATTCTCATAATTAAACTCTGATTCATTTTATCTTTGGTGTTCGCAAACTCCAACAACAGAAATGGCATCTGTGTATTGATAATAAGCATTTACCTTGGCAGGAGACGAATCAGACAGGTTGTTCACAGACATCAATCTTACCATCTGATATTTTCAGCAAACAAAAAAGTATTGATTCCTTTTCCATTCTCCTCACAAATCTAGAAGCCCTCTTCAGCAAGAGCATCACATTTTTCTCTGTAATCTATTGGCTAAAAGAAAATTGCATTGTGGGGGAGTAAAGGGGGTTGTGAGTGGGGGTTGAGGGTGGTAAAGTCCCTGAAGGCCAGACTGCAGTTCTTGCCCCTTCCTGCTTCTGTCAGGATATGTTAAAGAACCATGCATAGTGCTCACATTGGGTTAGGGGACACTGAACTGCTTTTCAGATCCATGATCAATCATCATTCTTCTAAGAGACTGGAGCTTTGCTGTTTCATTAACTGTGCAGTGTAGACTAATGGTGTTTAATAAAAATCATTAAAAATTTCAAACTCTTTTGCCAGTGACCTCAATTTTGTTGGCTCTTTGATTTGCATCAGACTTTGAGGAGGGAAGGGGGAAGCAAAGGACGCCTGCTACCAGGCCCCTGGCAGGATGCTGCAGCAGCAAACCCAACCATGCCTGCCTGCCAGCAGTTGCTGGTGAGCAGCAGCATGCAGACCAGCTATGGGAAACCTGAAGAATGCCCCAGTGGATGCTTTCAGCTGGGGATAGCTTGTTCCTATTGGGAGACTCATTGTTCTACAGTCTCTACAGCAGGAAGCCAGCTCCTATATCCAGAGAGAATTTCAGATCCTTTACCTGTCTGGTTTTGTCCTACATCACTCATGTGCCCACAAGATAGAAGTGTCTCTGAGAATGGAGCCCAGTGTGTTAACAATGGGTAGCCAAATGCATCCCAGATGTTCATACCCTTTTGTGGTTCTGCAGTGCTTATGGAATTGGGGGAAAAAGAGCCTCTGGGCAGGAAGCAAAATCGGAGAAACACCAAGGAGGCTGAGTTGATGCCACATTGCCCATGTCAAGAATTAGCTTCTCATTTGGTCAGTCTGGCATGCAAACCAGTGGTGTGCTGGTAAAATGTTTAACAACCGGCTCTCTGATAATAGAAAGCACCTGATTTGTGGCATTTTCCAATTTCCATGATGTAAATATTCCCACCATGGCTAATTTCAAGCTACCAACTGTGACATCACTGAACAGAGAGTTGGGAAGAGATGCACACCATTGGCTCTCGTGAGCCTGGGCAAGCCAGCTCCAATGTACTACTGGATGCAGCCAAAGAAGGTTCAGATTTTATGTATCTATTCCTGTGGACACACACACCCACACCAACAACCCCCCTCCCCCCACCCCCCAAACACACTTCAATGACTAAAACAATTAAGTCATTTAAAATACAAATCAATCCTCTATGAATGTTGATAGTTTATGATGAGGTCCTAGAGGTATGGACTGCCCTGGAGGCCTGGTTTGAAGCAGGAGACAGCTGAAAAAAATGAAGCTTTCTTAGGATGAAAGGACAGATGGGTCAGTGGTAGTGGTTTTATCGTCTCCACATCTCATAGGTAAAATGGAAGCGAAGTAAGCACTTAGAAAAGCCATGATTAATTAATAAGAAAGGATAGGTGAGTGTCCATTGTTGTTGTTGTTATTATTATTTCCAAGTGGTATTTCTATCTTTTTTTATTTCTTCAGATAATTTATTATACATACATGTGGGGTACAACATTGATTTTCAATAATAGTGTAGAATGTGTGGCGGTTAGATCAGTATAGCTCGTTTATTCATCATTACAATATGCAATCATTCTTTGTGTCCACTGACCAATTCCTCATTAGCCCCCCTCCCTCTCCCCCTCCCCTCCACTTTTCCACCTCTAGCAACCACGGTTTCTTTCTCTCTTTCTAATAGTTCGATGTATTACTGTGACTGTTATATTTCTAACTTTTAAGTGTAATATGGATAAATTATTTATGGGGCTTCTATGGAGAATAGCATAAATACAAAATTTACTGTGTTGTTTTCTTGTCATATGGGTATTCTGCAATTCTCCCATCTCTACATTGCTGTTCCTAAGGTTTTTACTTTAGTTATTAGAGATCTAAGGTTTTCGCTTACATTTGTTTTTAGTTAAAAGTATCTACTTACTGTCCACCTCTGAATTCAAACCAGAACGTCTCCTTGGTCAATTACATGTCTAATGTTCAGAAATGATCATTCAAACCAAAATAATCCTCTTTTCCACACAATATGAAGAAAACTAAGGTCACTAACAGGAAGGCATAAACTGCAGTATATTTTTCTAAGAGAACAAAGCTTTCATTAAATACACACACACCATAAACACCTTTATTGTTTTTATTAGACCACATCATAAATCATCTTGAGAGTAGAATAGAAAGTATCAAAAGATTTGTTCTCCTAGTCCTGTGCATCTTCTGCAGTTAAAAAGAGGTATTTATCTGGAAAGGCTGAAGAACTTGCCCTAAAATCCTATTTTTCCTTAAACATTTTCAGGTCTGTCTGGGCCTGTGTCCATGGTCAACTGTTAGCCTTGCAGGAGTTACATGTCTTGGTCTTTCTAGCCTTTCTGTCTTTTGCCTCTGCAGCTCTTCCTGTGGATACCACAATAGCAGGATTTGGGGGTCTGTCTCCCCATGGTATTCCTGCAACAATTTTCCGTATTGGAGAATGGTAACATCTGGGTCTGGTTTAATTGACATTACACTTACACAGGGGCTTTGAGTCCCCCCAGGCAATAGACCAGTATTCATGGCTACAGAGAGCTGGAAATGTGTTTAACATCATTTGGGACATCCCCCACTACAAAACCATCCTCACTAATCAATCATATTCACCCATGAATAATACAAATGAAATTGATTCTGTCTTAAGATAATTTGTCAAATAGTTTTCTTACTGGATGATTCTACTCTCTGTATATTTTAGGAAAAGAAATGCCTGAGATGAAATGCCTCACATTTATTCAATTCTACAAATTGCTGTTTATATTCCTATTTTCATCAAAGTAGTGCTTCTGAAGATGTGCTGTCATTGATAAAATTGTCAAAAGTGAGCCCCATAGAGATACCATGTTCAGAAATGCTCATTGGGCTCAAAAGGTACCTAAAATTCTCTCCTTTTGCACACTTGGTTAGATTAGTGACATATTCTTAGGATCCTCCAAAGAAGAGATTGGTTTCTTTTCTGTTTTTGTGGTGGTGCTTGTGGCTGTGGCTGTGGCTGTGGTCGTGATTGTTACTTGTTTCTCTGTTTCTCTGGCTCTGGCTTTTGCTTTCCTGCTAGTGTTCTTTATCTCTCTAAACAGATGAATAGTTAAACTAAATGTGAACTTCTGAATTGTACTTGTTCATGCTTTTAGGACATAACAAATTAATAAAAATAGATGTGTCCTGATTTAAAACATGCCACCTGGAAAGGCATGCTGTATTATGAAATCATGATAATATAATAACTGCATTCTTACATGGAATTATAAATATTAATCTGTTGAATTCATTTGTCCAATTGTATAAGTTTGTGGAGCAGTGTTTTGACCTTTGTTACATAATTTTGGAACAAGTGGAGTGGCTGACAGGCAGATAAGATAATGTTTCTATCAGGATTTTTCAATGAACTTTGGTTGAAGGCCTGGCAATGGCAAACATCTTCAGATGTTGCTGTAACCATTGTGAATATAAACAAAAAAATCTCTGTTCAAGAAATTTCCCAGAGCACTTTAGTCAAGACTTTTTAGGTTCATCTTTTTTTTTTCTTTCTCCTTTGTCTTCTATTTTTTTAATTTTTTTTTATTTTTTATTTTTTGGAGGGGGGTTTGTTATTGACTGAAGAAATATTTTGATTGCAATGGTGTATCTCCCCTCCACCACTCTGTTTCTCCCTCTCCCCTTTCTCTCTCCCTCCCTCATTAAGATATTAAAATCTGGAGTCTTTGGTAAATCTGCATTAGACAAGTCTATAGGCCAGGAGTGAAATCTAGGCAAACATTGATGGGTTTCCAAAAAAGAACACTCCATGTTCACTGGGCCCTTGCACACCCCACACTAACAAATGACAAGAAGGACGGGGGTAGTTGTTCAAGAGGGGCACCTTTCAGATATCCTGTGAGACCTAATGCAGTTTAACAAATGACTCCACCTGGTTTTCCAGTACGTAACTTGACTGAGACTTGCAATATACCCCTGAGAGTTTCCAGGGGTGTCTTCTGCCTTGTCTATACTGTGTGTGTTTGCTTTGTATCTAAGAGGCACATTCACGTCTTGTGTGCTCATTTGAAATATTTCTTAACATTCCCATTAGCCTGTATATAAGAACCAGAAAGATAATCCTGACATGTTGTAAATGAAGATGTGAGTCTATAACCTTTCTCTTGTTCTTGGGAAAAAATACATTTTCATGCGTATTTTAAACAGAAACTTTGTATATTTGTGTCATGGAAAATATTTATTGTGTAACTGGGATACAAATGGGAATTTAATTGTCATTATATGCTTTGTATGGGGGTGGTGCCCACCAACACCATGTCGCTGGACCCTTGTGGCAAGCCATAACTGCACAAATAGAGCACATTGTCTGTGTGTCTGAGTGCATGTGTGACGTGTCTGTCTTGCTTCATGGGATTTTAGCTTTTCCTTCTTGAAAAACATTGTTTTATAGTTCCAGGAGGCCATGGCTATGTTACTATATAAAGGCAGTGTTTTGAAGTGAAAAATCCTTTCCTCTTGGAAGCTTTTGTTATAATATTATGGTTCAATCAAACAGATTCCACTGGCCTTTGTGAGGGAAGAGGCACTGCTCAAATCCAACTGAGTTTCCAAGAGAAAATTGTAGGTCAAGACACATGGGAGGGAAGATGAAGCCCACCTCAGTCCCAGCAACATGAGCTGACTTGAGCCTTTAGGGTTGGAGTGGGCTTGCTCCTAGCTGCAGCTCAAATCCCTGATGCAGATGTCTGGCCTGGGTTCCCTCCAAGTGAGTAGAGGAGCTAAACCATCAGGAACAGCCTGGCCTGGCTCCCAAGAAGAAAACTTCCTGAGGCCCTGCCCCCAGGGGGAAATTATTTCCCATGCTGGTGTCACCCCAGGTGGTCATTAAAATGCAATGATCATTCAGAAAGTGCCCCCTTGGCTTTAACATACTGCAATTCATCTTTTGAACTATTTTTTCTTGGGTGCAGATTTCCAGTATTCATACTCGTTGCAGATTGACCAACTGTCACTGTTCTTAGCAAGCATGCTTGTCTCAGAATTTCAGTAAGTTCCAATGTTCTGTATAGACCAGTATAACTGACCTAACATCAGTCAACGTAATGAAATGTTATCTGGTTTTTAAAAACTGATTTCATGTGCTTTATATGCATAAAACTGTATCTGCCTGTGTGGCTTTGCATTTCAAATGTGTGGCGCACAAGCGTTTTGTTGGTGCTTTGTTCTCAGTATAGTAACTCTGTGTACAAACATTTTAATGTGGTTTTGTTGTTTT